CCCCAAAACCCCAAAACCCCAAAACCCCAAAACCCCAAAACCCCTCACCATTTCATTTAAATTGAAAAAGGAAAAATTTTGTACCGATTGGAGATATTTATTGCCAAGTAGCTTTGAGGCGCTTTTCAACTTGTGTCTGCTTCCAATGATTTAGAATAAGAGTGATGTAAGCAAATGGCAAGATCCATAAACTCGCAAACATCAATCCAAACCCTCCCACCAAAAATAAGATTATCACCACAATTACCACAATAGCACATCCCTCAGCATCTCCATTCCCCCTACAACACCCACAATTCACTCACAAACACTTCTTCCAGCTTCATCTTGACCTATCTCTTCTACAGAAGAAGTACTTGAGGATTAAGTATGGCATGAGAATTGGGAGGAGAAGGTACATGAGAATGTAGCCGAAAGGACTTAGCATTATCATGTTGGGAGTGAAGACTGGAGTTCTGCAAGAATAGCACCTCAATGGCCTCTCTTCTTTTTCCATCCACTCTTGTAAAATAAGCCCTCAATTCTCTCATCTCAAAGTAAGAGGTTCATCATAAAACCTATCCCATTTCTTAGCTTTGCTACACTTGACGTCAGATACGTGTGAGTAATTGCATATAGCTCAGAAGTTATGACTAACTCTGCACTTTACTATCACTGGGGCATCTACACAGGCTGGTTACACTAAAGAAGAGAATTTGGGAATAGATTAATTTGGGAGGTGTTCTGGTGAATTTCTTTTAGTTGGGTAAGCTTGATATTCAATCCTTACATGTTCGCAAAATAAAAGAGGAAATGAAACTAATAGAGAAGTTAAAGGAAAGGTAGAAAGTGTGCTTTAAGGAATGATCCATAACTTAAAGTTTACCATGAGTCTCAACACTAAAATAATATGTCATCAATTATAAGCTTCTCTGTCACTTAAATTAATTTAGAACTATCTTTTTACACAAAAATTAAAATCATTTGATGAGCTAATTTAAACAAGATTTTCAAATTGTTCCATCGGCTTACCAAATTTTTCCATTTTCTGAACTACTGCTAATTCGCTACATTTTGGTATAGGGCATATCTGACGTCTAGGCTCGGAAAGAACTTCTAAGCATCTTCTGAACTGATTATACTTATCCAGATCTTTATTTTTAAGAATTCTATAGAGTATTTATAAAAATTCTTCCAGAGATCAAGCTTTTACCTATGATTCTGTATGAACACTTCTGTTATTTCTTTTCCACATCCATCGCATGCAGGTATTATTTTGCTCTCAACATTCTTGGTGATGAACCGAGGTAAACAATTCTTACAAGCTGCATGGTTACACTCTAGTAGAATTTTGTCTAAATGTTTTCCTCATAAAAAATTTACCTTCTGATGTTTCCTGCTGGCATACCATACAATAGCCAGGAAAATTGCCTTCAGGATGAGTTGAAGGAGACTGTAGTTCAAGGTCATTGTCTGATATAGTCTTTGATACAGGTTCACTATCGCTTTGGTGAATATTTGCCATTTTTTATTAATTTTATTACTCTCCATAGAACCAAGAGAATATGGGGTTTTGGGGTTTTGGGGTTTTGGGGTTTTGGGG